GCAAAAATAACCTAAAAATATGAAGAATTGATACTTTGAAAGAACCAATTGTGAACCAAGGTTGAAATCAGACCTTGAGGCACAAAACCATGTACCTACGGAAATTTTAAGATTCTTTGATTGATTAAAAAATGAGATTTGAGAGCAAAGTTGTGAAAAGATTTTTGAAAGTTTATTTCATTTGATTTTAAGATATATTGAGGTTTTGGGGGCTTTTCAAATTGAAAGGTGTATTCAATAGATTTGGATTTGAAGAAATAAAAAGAAGTTTATAAATTTAATGATTTTATGAGTGTTATAGTATATTTATAGATAGATTTTTTTTTAGTGTGTTATTGTGCTTGTTTTCAATATGTGTAAGAAATTTGATGTCAATTAAGTGGTTATATTAAAGGTTTTAAGAATTCTTGTGGATTATGGTCTTAAATAATTGAAATTTAGAGTTAGTATGAATTTTTAGGATCTTGTAATATCTACCAATTTGATTGAAGCCAAAATAAATGAAAGCAATTTAGACTTAAATACCTACATAATAACCAATTTTTGAAATAATTAAATAATTCAACAAGGAATTTTTTTTGTTAGGAGATCAACATTCAAGTTGGAAAAAGAAAGCACCCATCATCTGAGAGGTTTTGATAGCTTTTCTTTAAATTAATGATTTTGATTCTTCTAAAAACTTTTTTAATTATAAATTTCTTGTAGATTAAATTCTAGATAGAATTTTAGTCAGGATCAATGATTCAATTAATATTTATTGAAGTTTCAAAATAGCCATAGTAGTTGATTAAATTTTTTAAATTTTTTTTGAAGTTGTTTAGAATTTTATTAGGATTTGATTAGGATTTATTAAGAATTTAGAATTTTATTAGAGTTTTATTATAATTGATTAAGGATTTGAGTTGGATTTGATCTAGAATTAGGATTTAAGATTTAATTAAGATTTGATTAGGATTTAATTAGAATTTAGGATTTAATTAGAATTTTATTAATATTTATTTAAGATTTTATTAAGATTTAATTTAAGATTTGATTAGGATTTTATTAAGTTTTGGTCTAAGATTAAGATTTAGAATTTGATTAAGATTTGATCTAAGATTTTATTAGGATTTTATTAATATTTTATTAGGATTTTATTAGAATTTTATCTAAAATTGGAATTTAGGATTTTATTAGGATTTTATTAGGATTTTATTAGAATTTGATTAAAATTTATTGAGGATTTTTTGAAGATTATATTAGAGTTTAATTAAGATTTAATTAGTATTTATATTTTTAATATATTTTTAAAAAAATTTCTTTATTATATATATTTCTTTAAGATTAATATATGATTTCTTTATATATTTTTTTTAAAGTTCTTTGAGACTTTTTTTGGAATTTAATTAAAAATTGGTTAGTATTGTTATAATTGAATTAAAATTGTTAAGATCTTCTTGTTACAAGTTCTAATTTATCTTCTAGACTTAGGAACTTGGCAGATTTTCAAGCAAACTTCACAAAATATGATAATATAAACTTGGACCATTTTCTATATGTAAATAGATTAATCCAATTGCTTATTAATTGTATCTACCATAGTCTATGAAGACCCATCATCTATTCCATGTTTCTTTCTTTGAGCCATACAAGACAATAGATATACCAAAAAGACAACAAATGGCACCTCCTCTTATAGAAGTGAATAATAACCAAGAATATAAGGTCAAAGAAGTCTTAGACTCAAGGCAGCACCAAAAAAGGTTAAATTATTTTGTTCATTAATATAGATATGATATTAGTGAATACACATGAAAGTTAATCAAGAATCTTATAAATATAGTAAAGAAGGTTGATACTTTTTATTGACAACATCTATCAAAATTAAAATAAATGATAACAAATCTTTGCTATAAAAGAATTGCAATTCAAAAAAAATTGTATTTGATCTTCTATTCTTGTTTTTAATATTTGTATATTTTTTGGACTAAAGAGATGGAGAATTAATAGCCAAAAAATTCAACTCAAGAGCCATTATTTGTTGACTTATTGGATGAGATATTGTAATTATTATAGCCTTCAAAATGACATAATCAAGCTAAAGACCTTCAAGAATGACATTTTCTTTCTTCAATAGATGGAAAAATACAATAGATTTGATATTATGACCTTAGAAGAGATTTTCAATGTTTGATGATTTTATTGAAGGTAGGAACAATTTTTGATGGTATTACAAATGTTTTATTTGAAGGAAGTTACAAAGGCTTCAACAATGATGAAATAACAAGTTAATCTTTCCGTCCTAAAATGGGACATTATTAGTAGTTGAAAGTACCTATCAACTACCTTCAAAGGGAACAAAGTTCAAAATATGTGACAAAATATAATTTATCGCATCATAGACTTCTTCAATATGTGATTACCACTCCTCATTAAACTTGTTCTTAAAAGAAGGGGTAATGTCACAAGCATACATATTTACTTGAAAAATTACCTAGATATTATGAATAAGTAAAATTAAGTTAATTTGATGAAATCATATAAAGAAGCTTCTTAAAAGCTTTATAGATATGATTTCACCTTTATACATGTCTATAAGTGATTGGTAGATTAAAAACTTGGCCAACAAGCTATCCACATGACACATATTTCCGTAGCTTGTGGTACAAGTTAATGATGTAGCGTACATATAAGAAACTTGCCTTGCAAGTTAAGATATGTGTCCTACAAATTGAACATATATCAAAGGTCTTACAGAACATCGCTTTTAGTTAGGCATATAGCTTTTAGTTAGATAGTATATATGGATGCAAGATTAAAGCCTTCTTTACTCTTTTCAATGCCTTTTTAGTCCTTGGTCTTTCTTCCAAACTTTCTAATCTTCTTATCTTTAGCAATAGCTATTCTAGTTCAATATATTATCATTTTTGAATGATTTTTAAACTTTTTGAATAACATAAGAGTGTATTGAGATTTTTTTTTGAAATTCATATCCTTGATATGTATTCATGAAGAAGGGTTCATTCTTGCCTTCATATTTTTTTATCTAACTAGGATCTATGTGGCAATTTTTTATAGAACCTTTAGCACATGATTAACTTACAAAACAAGTTTTCTACATATATGCCACATAGCCAACTTATATCACAATTTATCAACATATATAACATGTGGCTAAATTTTCAATCTATCAATCAACTATCAATACGTATAAAGTCAAATCCACATCTATGAAGATTATATAAACTTCTCTATAAGATATTATCAAATCAACCTTCATTTATCTTTTAAATAATACTTCTTATCTTAATAATTATATATGTTGATAATAATAAATTTTAAAATTATGTTTTTGAATTATATTATATTTTTATTTTAAATTAGATCAATTTTTTTAATTATAAAACTTTGGACCAATTCTTAAGCATCATAAACAAAAAAAAACTAAAAGATGTTTGAGTTATATATATTACAATAAGACATGTATTGCTATTTCATTTCACAATTGCTAGAAATTTGAAGTATATGATGGAATGCCAAATATCCAAATTCAGATTATTGGATCTACATGCTTGAAATGATCAGATAAAATGCTCTTATAATGGAGACAAGCATCAACAAATCATTAGATCTTGTGTTCTAAAATGAAGGTACAAATGAGTCTTTTCCATATGTATCTAACTTTTTTATAATGGTAGATTTAATGTCTATTAATATTTTTGTAAGGTCTAGATTTTTTATATATTATTAATATTATTAAATTTTAAAGAAAAAAATCTATAAATAAAATTAAAAATAAATAAATAAAAACTTTTATAAAAATATCTTTGCAGTGTACCACAGATGGATGTAGTATTGCAAATATTAAAAATATAAAAATAAATAAAAAGATTATATATATATATATATATATATATATATATCTATGTTAATAAATAAATATCACATCTATCTTATGGTTTTTTTAAGTCAAATTTAGTCATTATTTTATTAATATTAAGGATTAATAATCATTATTATTATCAATGAATTTTGACAAAAACTAAAAATCTAATTTTGAAGTTTTTTAGAAGACAAAGGTCTAATATTGTTGGTAATGTCTAGAACTATTTGAGTAAGATATGCCAATGTGCTTGCAATTTTGTTGTACACAATATTAGAGTTTATGCTGTCTCTTGAGTTTGTGAAAAAAAATCTCTCAAAAAAAAATCACCATTCAATACCTAATTCCATTTTTTTCAATTTTTTTGCTCATTGAAATGTCTAGTAACTTCTTTAAAATTTGTTGGCTTGAAATAATTGTCTATGCTCAGTATAATTCGACCTTTACTTCTACTAATTGCAGACTTGTTCCAACCATTTGAATAGTCATTACTGATAATGTAGATAATTCTATGTGAAGCTCTATATTTAAAGATACATATTTCTAAGTTATTTAGTCATTTCTTTTTAACTTCCAAGGCCTTGAAGGAAACTCAAAAAAAAAATCCAACAAAACATAAAAACAAAAATAAATCTTAACCTTGGCATTTTTTGAATAAGATTGGATCCAAATTTGTTGAAGGCAATTGTCACACTCATGTTTTTGTCCATTACATCCTTTGATAATGAATCCAATAATATTACTTGTATTATTTTCCACAAGCATAAAATAATAATAATAATAATAATAATAACAAAAAGAATAAAAGATTAATAGAAGAATAATAAATAATCCACATCAAAGCTTCCAAAGTCAAAATGATTTTTAATACCAACTTTTGAAAACATTGTACTTCAAAAAAATGTATAAGTTTGTGTTTTTACCTTTTCATGCTTTGCTAAGAAATTATTAAAAATGATGATGTCACTGGAATTTTTGATAATATCAATCAAATCATTTAAGCTTTAACTCATCTTGCTTGCATTTCAAAGACAGGATGAACTTTGTACCTGCTATGATGGACCCCATCCTGAGTGATTACGCCCGCAATATTTCTGATGCACGCGAATCTGAAGTTTTGTCTTTGTTTGCTACCATTACTAACAAGTGCGTTCTCGCCTAATAGTGGGTTTCAGCTATTTGGAGTTGCTTATTGTTGTTGAGTGCTGTAAAGAACCGTTTCTAGCCTGATTATTACCAGTGTTGATTGATCGATGAATTTGTTCTACTGTGAAGTTGGTTAGGTGTATCATGTTTAATGAAAGCATTAGGTTGTGACAAATTTGGACACATTTGGGTCATTTTGCAGGTCAAAGAGCGCCATGATGGATGATGGTCCCCAAATCTTTGACGTTGCCTTTGCATGCACCCTTGAGGTATATATTGTTTTTAAGGGCTTGTTTTATGTCGAAGTTTCCTTAGTTTATAGAGAGCCGATGAATATATTAACTAGAGCTGACGCTCTAACTCTAGGTTCTGTGGTCATGTAGATGATCACTTAAAAGCTTTTAAGACTATCCAGTACATCGTCTGAAGTTTTTCTAATTGTTACGAGCAATGGCAAGCCATTGCTTCCGTGCCCTTTTTGACGTTATCGAGCCAAGTAAGTCGATCCTGTTGTTGACAAGTGTTGTCATTTTGGGAGATCTATTCCCTCTCTGTTTATTTGCTTGAAATATCCTGGTTCTCTTCTCTGCCGTTTGCTTTCTTTTTTGATATTCATTGGATAGCAACTATCGATCCACAATTAATGAAGGTAATCCTTCAAATGTGAAACCTGACGTAATTTTGGAATGATGGGGAATGTGCAGCTAAATTTCTTTGCCCTCGCCAGCAACTGAAACTCGTGGTGGATTCCATTATCTGGGCATTCCGCTACACGGAGCGCAATGTTGCAGAGACTGGTCTTAATCTCCTCCTTGAAAGGCTTACAAACTTCCAAGTAATCTTCAACCTCGCATCTATCTGTTAGCATTTGCATGTGGAGAACCTAACATTTAATCGGCGTATCCATTATTGATTTTGTATGTTCTTTAATGGGTGATTTTCGGTTTGCACTATCAATCAGTGCATGTTTTTCTGTGTGTTCCTCACTCTGTATTTCTGAATTTATTTGGTGATGTAGGCTTCAGAGTTCTGCAACCAGTTCCATCAGACCTACATTCTCACCACTGAGCAAGAAGTATTTGCAGTTTTGACTGACACTTTTCACAAGCCAGGATTCAAACTCCATGTTCTGATTCTTCAACATTTATTTTGTCTGGTATCGTCTTGCCTCCAAGCCTTGTCAACCTCCGGATTCCTGTACTCTGGTATCTTTATCTCCAGTTCCGTTGAGCATGTTACCTTAGACCTCTAACATAGTCATTTCTGCTCTTTTAGGTTGATTCAGGGGCGCTCACCCAGCCGCTCTGGGATTAGGCTCCACAGCCTTTTCTAACAATGTGGAATTTGTTCGGGATTACACAAAAAATGCTTGTGGAAACGTCATTTCCCAACATGACTTCCGTTGAAGCAAGTCATTCAACTATTTCTAACATGTTTTCGTCCGTCAGGTGCTAGTTGTGAATTTCTGCCATGTAACTTGGTCGTGGTTTTGAAATGCTATATCATCTGCAGCTTTGCGCAACTTTCCTTTTCAGAATTTATTCCGAGAAACCTGGAAATTTTGTGCGCTTTGTAAACATTACCTCAGTGATGTGAACAGTTCCTTGTTTTGTATTTTGGATGTGTCTACAGTTGTAGACATTTGTGAACGGGCTTTTTGAGACCCGAAATGAGTCGGGAGCTTTCAAAAACCAACTTCGTGACTTCTTGATTGGATCCAAGGAGTTTTCAGCCTAGGTGGAATCACATGACCTTTGATACATCCTCATTTTTTGGTTTTCAAATTTATGGCTAGTCACTGTTTTGAAGCTTTTGCGACAACTCCTTGTGACTGGGACACACAGAAGTCTGCGCAGTCGCAACTTGGCTCCTGTAGTAGTTGTCAATGCAAAATAGTTGCTTGTTGTGTATAGTAATTACTTATGGTGGAGACAGTGTGCAGGACAACAAGGATCTATATTCAGAAGAAGCTGCTTTTCAAAGAGATGAGGAGGGAAGGCGAATGCCCAGCATTCCTGGACTGATAGCCCCAATTGAAATTCAAGATGAAATGATAGGTACATAGGCGCACCACTCGATCTCGAAACAACCATCAAAGCTCATGTTCAACCTTGCTCCTCAAAACAGTGATGGTGGAATAAGTCAGCTTTAACCACTTCAGTTTGTGTGAAGCTGCTCAACTGCTCAGGACATTCGGTCTGATGCAAGTTGGACATAGGGTGGCTTGCGTGACCTCAGAACTCGACTGCTGCATTATGACCTGTCAAGGGGTGGAGAACGATCCTGGCCAGGTTGAAGATGCCATACTGGGCTGGAGAAGACCATTAAATCAATTGTAGCTGATGGTACTTATGTGGACTCCAGAGATGCGAGTATCAGACTCTCCACTGGGGAAAGAATGGGACAAGTGTAGAGATTGAAGTCCTATGTAGCAGCCGTGGTCAACTTGTGATTCCTGTGAACAGAGATTTTTTGTTAGGGCACTGGTGCTGGTTCGGGCAAGTTTGCCCGGGTAAAACCATTGCGTCTATATCTCATCGGTATCCTCTGGTTGAAGCAGGGCTGTCTCCCTTCTGTTTAATCTACTCAGTCAACTCTTCAATCCATATTATCTGCACATTTCCCATGTGTAGGCCAAACCTTTTACTGTAGTTTAGGTATTGCTCATGCCGCACAAGGTTGTGCTTTCAATCTAAAACCAAATAAATTTTCAGTCCGGTGTGTCTACAATATGAATGATTTCTTCTTTAAATTCAAATTCCCCTCCAAAACTGTGCATTTCAGTTTGGTAGACAATATGGTTCACAGGGAGTGTGCATACTTCCTGTTCTCCATGTATCTTCTCAAGGGGGGGATGAAATGACCCAACTTTTGTCTTATTTGGACTTGTCTTTTGTCAGAAACTTATTAATCAGACAAAGATATCTTACAAACTAATTTTCTTGGTGTTAACAATACATCAAGATATTTTCGGAAGCATTAGAAAGTAAGGTTCATGAGAACTGAAAAGGTCTATGCAAGTTCCACACCAGCAAACGATGTTCTTTTCACTTTTCGAGAACCAACAGCCGCTTTGATTCATGATTTCAGGACAAAAGTACACACTACGATTAGGGTCATGTGATACAGTTTCAGTGACCAAATACAGACTTCTGTTTGACACCAGAAAGCAGGTTTCGTAAGCTTCCAAAACAGAACGTGTTCACATATTACTAGAGAAGTCGCAACTATTCATCACTTTTAAAATTGCAGAGGGAATAAATGAAGGCTTGAATGCTATGGGAGCAATGTGCCCCAAACTATCATGCAAAGAGATTGCAACCTCTGCGAATCTATTCCAGAAACTATATGCAGCTGTATAGCTCTAACTAAGCATATACCTTCAGCTTTAATATAGACTGAATCGTATCCAGGCAAACCCCAGGAAAGTAACCAAAAAAGTGTGCATCAGATGTCCAAGGTATTGTACTGATCACCTACTAACACTACCTTACTTGAAACCAGCATCCCAAGAGTCATCACCCCATCCATCCTCTGCCTTCTGACGGGATTTAGTTCCATTGTCGTGACCATCATCATCGTGATCATCCCACCCAGCCCAACCAGCTGAAGCCTCCTTGTTCGTGTTAGTTTGGGCCCTGGAGTCTGGCTCCTTCTTGGCGTTCCAATCTTCCTCGTCATACTCTGTTCTCGAAACCTTCGTCGTGGTATTCCAGTCTTGCCAATCGTCGTTGGACTTGGCCGGAGCATCCCAAGAATGGTTACCGTTCAACTCCTGGTAACCAGTGTTACTGGAATTAAGAGAACCATACCTCTGAGTGGAACCATAACTCGAGCCATGCTGTGAGGAGGATCCGCTCACTCCATCTTTAGTATATGCCTCTACTTGTTGAGATGCCATTGCCATGACCCCACGCATGAAGCCCCATGCCTTGTGGCCCACTTCTGTGCCCTTGGCTGCCACCACAGAGACGGTCTCATTTACCTTCTGGTCGTACCCACCTTCCCTTACCTGCAAATCCACGTTACAATGCAGTCAGGGTTTATGGCATCGCACAATCAGAAAGCAGGAGAGTTTCAAAAATGAAAGTTGATATGAAGTCCACACTACCCGTCACCAAAAACATACATGTAACTGCGAAATCTCTCTAGGAAAGCCAAAAAGAACTCGTACCTTAGCTTGAATGTCACTAGTGCTTGCTTGCAGAACAGAAGCCGCATTCTGGGCAGCTACTGCTGCTACTGCTGATAAACGGCCAAAACCCTGCATAAGAGCCTTTATCAGCACAAGCTGCTTTTGAAACCCTTGAAGAAATCGTTGAATTTCATACTCAAAATTTAAATTGTTCGTCAACTTATGGTTAGAAAAACGGAAAACGAAGAGATAGCGTCCTTCGGGCAGACAATGTGACTTTATTGTTAAGATAATACGGCTCTCAGAAATAAAAGAGATCAAGCGAAATAATGCGTTGCCTTGCGCGAAGACAGACACTATCAGGCTTTGACCAAAACTTCGATCGGTATTGATAGGAAAAATAACCCTAGCTATTTTTTCCGTTTCAAATTGAACAATTAAAACTACAACTACATGAAGATGAATGTGCAGTAATTTGACTACAGAAACTCTTGTTTGCGTCACCGATGACAAAGATCGGGGATGTACCTGGGTCAATACCGACACTGTCTCGTTCAACACATCTCCTCCCGCAGGTGGACCCCTGGCTGGAGGAGGCCGTCCACCTCCAGACCCAAATCCCACATACTTGCCACCCTGTGACGGAGGCAGATTGTCCGGGCGAGAGGCATTCTCCATCTGCTTCCTAGCAAAAAATGCGTCTTTCCCAGCAGCCGAAGCCTCGAGCTGTGATTTGCTATAAATATCCCCAGAACTGTGAGAGCGCACGGGACCGTGACCGCCTGAACCCGATATGGAGCCATCTGACCCTCGTCGTGGCAGCTCTCGTGAGTTACTCCTGGCATCCATCTTCACTTCAGAGGCGTCCCAATCATCCCAGTCAGGAGATGCTCTGGTGCACCCTTGGGTCTTCGGGATACTCGAGGTAAGGCCGGAACTCTCCCTTGACACAGGCGGAGCATTCCACGACCGACCTTCCGCTAGGGCCTGAATCTTCTCTCGGTAAATGCTTGCAGCTCTCGAGTTGTACTTCGCCACAATGTCCGTTTCCTTTGCGATCCCGTACTCTGCCAAAAAGCTATTCAGGGCAGCATTACCTCCTGCCTGCATCTTCTTCAGCTGGATCTCCGACCACGAGTCCATGGAAACGGATCGGACAAAGCTAATGTGCACGCCGAGACCTCGATGCTTCCCGGAACACTCTAAGCACATGAAGATACCGTAGGAAACCGACGCCCATTGTGGATTTCTCTGGGAACAGTCCACGCACACCTTGTTCCCAGGCTGCGATTGCAACTCTCGCAACTTCGCCGCAGCAGCCGGCGAGGCCATGTCTAAGGCAGCACTCTTAACTTCGCACCACATCAAAAAGAATCTCAGACGTTATCACCGAAAAAAACAAAAACACACAAAAAGCTTAGGGAAAAAGCAAGGCAGTCTTCAGTCGCACATCATCGAGGCACAAAGTTACCTCCGCTAGGATACTGCGCTGTCCGCAACAACTGCGCAAGGCACCTCTCTCTTCCTCTAGGCCTCCCTCTCCGACTCCCGAAACGCCACTACGATTCTCCACGCTGCAAACCGTACGAGACACATCCACGACAGTTCGCTGTTGATGTACAACCATGAAGGGAAAAAGAAAAGAAATGCAGTAACCACGGCAGCGTGCAGCCCAAACCGAGGCCAAAGCGCAGGACAAACTCAAACTCCGCCAAAGAGGATTAAACTCAGACCCCAGCGGTGACGTTTCCGACCAGAAAAAAGGCGAGAGGAGGTCAGATTAGGAGAGAAAGACAGCAAAAGAGAGAGGAGAAGATAAGGGTATCGATGCAACTACCCCGCACGAGCGAAAAAAACCACAACTCCAGCGGCAGAGCGAGCAAAGCACGCGGGGTTGAGACAGAGCACGGCTATGGTGACCTTCCTCCAGCGAGCTCCCTCCCTCCCTCCGCGTTTGACCTCCTCCTCCATACCTCCATCCCTGTCCACACGGCCCAGTCTACTACGCCCCTCAATCCACCTACGCACCAGATCTCTATCCACACAAATTGTACATACATCAGATTAATCTACCAATCTTCATCATTAATAATTCGGGGCAGTCTGGTCAAAACTGTCTACAAAAGTCGTAGATGGAATGGCGGTAGAATCTAGGAATCGGAAGGAATGGTATGATTTGGCGACAATTATTGTAGCGGAGCAGGGGGCTTTGGAATGAGAGGTTCTTGACAACGCAGCAACAAGGTGGGGGGGGGCGTCCAGCTGGCTGCCAGCATGGCTCCCTCGGGTTTTGTAGGTGTTGTTGTTGCTTCCAAGGCTGAGACTGCTTCCATTGCAGAATACAAATCCCAGAGAAGGAGGATGATCCTTCTTCCCCTTCCTTCTTTGCTTCCTTACACTTTTGGCCTCCCAGCCATGGCAAATGCCACGTCATTCAATTTCTAGGCCCATTCATGCCGGTTATTCTCCCCACCCCCGGTACCAAATCCAACAATAATAATACCCAAACCCCCTTTTTTTCTTTTTCTTCGTTTGAAATATTCGGCAAATGTGTTTCCAAGTCTTCATGTTACCTTAACTTTGACTTTTAGGGTTTGGTGGCAACGGTGGACAATAATAGCCCTGCCTGGAATTATTGAGTGAGTGTGGGTATCTCATGGAGCCCTGCGAATGAGGAGCAACTTTGCCCATGATTCTGGAATGTTGGGATGATCGTTTTGTTTTGTTTTGTTTTGATTTTTTTTAGGTTTAATGATGCATATAAATGTATGTGAGAAAAGATTTTTTCATTATTCCTTTGAAGCCATGAACTTTTTCTAGTCCACGCCTACTTTTGACGTCCTTAATACTCAAGGCACATGGCTCCTAATGAAGAATTATAACAAAATTGATCAACTAACTGATAAAAGTATGTAGGAATAAGAAGTTACTACTTCAATGACTTTACACTGAGATTATAAAATGTTATTTCACCGACTAGTAATTACAGGATTATTGGGTGAATTCTCTTCAAATCTAAAGCAAAGACTTAATTCAAAACGTATTTATTTGAAGGTGTTAAACATCCTTATACTGTTAAATATTGTTAAATATTGTTACACCCATTTAAACTTTGTATGTGATTATTTTTAATGTTTAAAAAATAAAACCATGTCATTTATAGTGTTCTAAATTCAGTGGAAAATACAATTATTCTCATCTCACATGTACACCAATAATGAATCTACAATATAATTGTTATTCTTTCAACAAAAAATTGAATTTATTGTTTTTGTAATCCCATCTCAAGACCATTTTGAAGATTGCTTTCACCTTCTTGTACAAAAAAAAATATGATTAAAAATTTTATAAAAAAATCAAATAAAATAAACCCACCAAGTTTATAGCCCATTCACTATTCTATGACATGTAAATCTTATAAGATGTTGCTCATAGTTTTTTCTAATTTATGTTTGGGAATATAAATATGTACATTATTATATTTGTTAAAAATAATAAAATCAATATAGAAAACAAAATTTGAAACTAGAAAAAAATAAAAATAAACAAAAATAAATAAAAATAAAAACAAAAAAATAAAAAAATTCATTTTCAAAATATTTATCTAAAAAAATGATATATATATATATATATATATATATATATACACATACATACATATATAATATAAAAAATTTAACATAAATCTTTATATTTATTTTTTTATGTGCTAAAACTATTTATAAATTTTGTAGATAATACTTATTGAAGTTTTAATGTTGATTTAATATTGAGAATTACGTACCAAAATATTAAAATCTTCTAAAAGAACTTTAAAAGAATACTTCACTAATTAGTTTCATAAAAAATAATTATTTTGGATTTGAAATTTTAGCTTCATACTTACTAAAATATTATCTTGCATTATCTATCAATAATGTCACATGACATAGCATTGGATACCAAACTACATTGGATGGATGTAATTTATATTGATTTAATTAATTTTTATCTATTTATTTTTTTATATTAATTGATTTTATTAGTATAATATCAATTAAGATTTATATATATTGTAATTATTACTTAGATAATATAAATAAGTACAAGTAAATGAAAGTAGAATAATTTCATAATATCTTCTAGAGAAGCTTCCTAAAAGCTTGTCAAGGACAAGAACTGGATGAAAAAACAGTTCAGACAAGTAAGCCTTCACTCAAAGAAAAGTAACAAAATATGAATAATAAGTATGTATATTGAAAAGAGAAACTAGGATGGCTATTGCCAAAAGACAAGAAAACTAGAGACCCTTGAAACTAGACTAGAAGCAAGAAAGGAGTTGACAAGAGTGAAGAAGCCTTCACTCTTGTCTCTATATATACTATCTAACTAGGGGCTACGTGGCGACGTTCTATAGGACCTCCAATATGTGTTGATTTTGTAGGACACATGCCTTAACTTACAAGGCAAGTTTTTTTTACGTGTGGGCCACATAGTTAGCTTGATCTTCAAGTTAACAACATGTGTGGCACATGGCCAACTTGTTGACCACCTTTCTAATCCAAAAAGTCAATTAAAGACACCTATGAAGTCAAAGCAGCGTCTAGGAAGTTTCTAGGAAGCTTCTATATTAAATATTATAGAATTAACTTACTTTTATCTACTTTTACTTACTTCTACCTATTTCTATATGTAATTATTAGCTTACATGATTATGGCCTTGACATTACCCCCCCTTCTAGAGACGAGTTCCACGAGGAGCGGTCATCATATGTTGAGGAAATCTATGATGCGACGAATTGTATTCGCCACATACTCTGATCTCTGTTCTCTTCGAAGATGATTGATAGGGCCTCTCAACCATCGGTAGTGTTCCATACCAGGGCGGAAAGACCCCCAATTATTTGATCATTGTTGAGGCCTTCGTAACTTCCTTCGAATAGAATATTCGAAACACCATCAGGGGTTGTTCCTACCTCTAGCAAAATCACCAAACATCGAGAGTCCCTTCCCAAATCGTAATACCAAACGCGTTGTATCTCACCATCTATTCGAGGAAGAACATGTCGTTCTTGAAGATCTTCATCTCGATTGCGTCGTCTTGAAGGTTGTGACAATCGTAATGTCTTTTCCGATAGGTCAGCAAACGAAGGTTCTTGAGTTGAATCCGCTGGTTGTTGGCTCTCCATCTAATTAGCGTCACAAATGCAAAGAAGTTACAAACAAGGATAGGAAATTGAATGTTATCTTGCCTCAATCTTGTCTCTTTTATAAGAGAGATTTTCATCTTGGTTTTGATGGATGTCGTTGATGAAAAACTTTGACTTTAGCTGATGCATTTGCTAGATTCTTGGATGGCTCCCATGTGCGTTCACTAATATCATATCCGCGCCAATGAACAAGATATTCTATTTTATTTCGACGCCGCCTTGAGTCTAATATCTCTTCCACCTCAAATTCTTCATTATTATCTACTTCTATAGGATGCGGTGGCATTTGTCTTCTTCCTTGTATATCCACTGTCTTATATGGTTCAAGAAGAGACACGTGGAATACAGGATGGAACTTCATTGATTCCAATAGATGTAACCGATATGCAACTGGGTTGATCTGTTCAGAAACAGAAAAGGGGCCAAGCCTACGATAGTCCAACTTGTCACAAGGTCGAGTAGTCTTGATATTGCGACGAAGTAGCCATACCTTATCACCTACGTTGAGTTGTGGTTGCTCCTTACGATATAGATCTGCGTTTATCTTTTGTCGTTCTTGAGCTTCCTTCAATTGCGTCTTCATTATTGCATGTAACTCTGATAACCGATTTGCTATATCTTCTGCTGCAGGATTATCAACTTTTGAAAAATCAAAAGTATCAAGTCGTGGATAATAGCCATAATTGGCAAAGAAAGATGTTTGTTGCGTGGAAGAATGTACCGTATTATTATAAGCAAACTCTGCCAATGGCAGAAGGGTTGTCCAATCATCTTGTTGGTAGTTGATAGTACACCTTAAATATTGCTCCAAGACTTGGTTTACACGCTCTGTTTGTCCATCAGTTTGAGAATGGAAAGCCGAAGATAGCTTTATGTCCACTTTTAAAATCTTGAAAAGGGTCCTCCAAAATCTTGATACAAATTGAGTTCCCCTATCCGATATGATATCTTTAGGTAATCCATGATAGCGATAGATATTATCAATGAAAAGCTTAGCTGTTTCTTCACCTGTGATAGATTTTGTACATGGCACAAAATGTGCCATCTTGGTGAAACGATCTACTATCACAAATATAGAATCATAAGATCTTGAGCTTAAAAGATCTGTGATGAAATCCATAGAAACAGAAGACCATGGTTGTTCTGGTATAAGTAATGGCTGAAGAAGTCCATAAGGTCGATGACGAAGAATTTTTGATCTTGAACAAATATCACATGATTGTACAAAGTCTTTGACTGACTTCCACATTTGTGGCCACCAAAAATCTCTTGATATGAGTTTCAAAGTCTTATTATATCCAAAGTGCCCTGCTGCTGGAAAGTCATGACGTGCTTGAAGAACACGTAAACGTGCTTCTCCTTCTGGAACATATAGGCGTCCTTCAAAATATAATAGATTATTCTTGAACTCGAACTTAGAAGGATCATGAGACTTGGAAGAATTATTCTTGATATCATAAACAAGAGGGTCTAAGGACATACTGGACTGGATTTGCTTGAGAAAAGTTGAATCAACAGTCAATGTTGATTTCATTGCTCGGAGATGAAATTGCTCCGGTTTCAAGAGGACCGTTCTTTGTTGCTCAAAAGCTGCATCTCCTTCTTTTGGTGCAAAATAAGAACGTCTAGATAGGGCATCAGACAAACCTTGTTGTTTTCCTAGCCGATAAGTGATAATGAACTCGAATCTTGACAAAGACATACTCCAATGAGCTTGACGATGATTCAACATGCGTGTTGACATGAAATACTCG